ATTCTTATTTATAATTAATATTTTAATATTATTTTTCTATAAGTTTAATGATAAGTTCATAAATATCGTAAAGAGACAAAAAACTTGAAAACACTAAATACTTAGACTTTATTTACGAAAAGAGTATTAGGTTTAGAATCTCTGATCGCATCAACAAATTATAATACTCAGCCTAATACTTACATAGACATGCATGATTTTTCGAAAGAAAATTCGAAAGGAAAATTAATACGTGATTGTACTTCTATTTACATCCATAAGGAGTGATATTAAAATTTTTAGTATTATTTGAACTATAGATTAACAGTCATAGCGGAGAGCTATTATTTGCAGGACCCAGGTTCGAGACTAGCTAAGGGAGCTACCTGCTAGGTACCGAGTTCAGTGTGGCCCTTAGTTGAAGTATTCAAATGATTGATTTTTTGTTATTATTTTGTTATTATTATTATTATTATTATTATTATTTTTTATTTGATGAAAAAGAAAATAAAAATATATATATAAAAGAGAAAAACAAAAGAAAGAAAAATTACAAATCAAATTCGACATCTAAATCTATTGCATCTATACGCCTCTCTAATTCAGCAACCTGAACTCGCAACCGATTCCTTTTCCGAACCACCCTCCAATGCTCCTTATCTCTTCGCCAATTTTCCTCTACTGACTCTGCATCCCAAAACCTAATCTCTTCCAACTCCACCTCTAACACAATGATTTTTCTTCTTAAGGACCTCACCTTATGCAACAATCTAAAAATGAATTACAATATTAATATTTCCTCAAAAACGATTAGTATAAAAATTGATAAATATTTACTGTCTGTTTTGATCCTGAACTTCAGTGAGAGCCTTATAAAGAGCCTCATTGCCACTGCATCTGGCATGTTAAACGGCACGAGAAATACGAACTTGAGGCATTTTTATTTTTATTTTATTATTATTATTATTATTATTATTATTATTATCTTTATTATTATTAATGTTGTTGTTATTGTTGTTATTAATAACGAAAAGAGAAAGAAAAGAAAATTTCTTAAAGACAGGAAATTATGTCATGCATATTTTATTAATCACAAGGAACGAAACATGCTTAAAACCTGATTGGTTAGGAATGATGAAACAATGAAATATTAGTTCTTAATATTTTATTAATATTATTATTCAAAGCAAATGAAAAAGGCAAATTTTTAAAGCAATATTTCAACAGTAGTAAATTTGATAATTTTATTAGATTTAGATATTAGAAATTTTAGTTTTAAAAATTTATTAGACTTAGATATTTGATTGTTTAAAGTTAAAAATTTTATTAACAAAATTTAGAAATTTATTACAACTTAGAAATTAAAATCCGAAAAATTTATTGAGAAAAAAGAAAGTAAAATAATATACAGAACAAAGAAGAACAAAAACAACCACCAACTGAAACAAACTATAACTCTGACTATCCTCCAACATACTACGCAACACCAAAATCTCTGCTTCTAAATTATCAATCTCCGTCTCCAACTCTTGTACCCGAACCATCAACCGATTTCTATCCACCCGTAACCTCTCCACCCGAACATCGTTAAGGAAATTCTGCCGTACTAGCTTAGTCGGATCGTATTCTTGAAGCTACGCTTGCAAGTTAGCGACTTGGTTTCGTAATCTTCAGACGCTTCTTTTACGTGCATATACTTGAAAATGAGAAAAGGAAGTAATAGGAAAATGTCCACCGGGGCCATGCAATCAATCATGCAAGTCATAAAGAAAATCAATCGTTCAAGTATGAAGGAATGTCAGCTCACCCAGACATGGACGACCGGTGTTTATCCCTGCAAGCATAAGACTTACAAAGCTAAGCACACAGCCCGAAAGTATACACACCTTCGACAAAGGAAAAACAGCAGGAAGACAAGCAAGACAAGAGAAGTTTTAAACAGAAACTAAAACTAAAAAATAAAAAAAGTAATAAGTATTAGACAAGAAAAGTTTTTACATAAAGAAATAATAGAAAAGAATTGTACCAAAAGGAAGATTTGTGTATAGAAAATTTTTAAGAAATAAATATAGGAAAAACAAGATTATAAATAGAATTAGAAACAATTGATAAGTTTTCCCATGCCAAGAAAAATTATCGTATGATGTCAACAGAGAAAATCACAAACAATAATGACGTGATTACAAATTTAGAAGAAAATAGACAATTTAGGAATATTCAAATTTAATTTTAGTACAAAATCTAGAACAAGTTCAGAGTCCTCACAAATTTTAAGGGAGGAAAAGACAAAGAAGCAATTAAAACACATGTCTGGCTAAGATTTTTGCCAAAGTTTTGCCAAGCATTGCTAAGCAGGATTATCGCACATGGTTGGCACAGATGCAAAACATGATAGACACTGCATAAAACAGATTTTAGCATGTGGTGATTTGCAAAGAGCAAGCATATGTCAAACAACATAAATAAGCATTTCAACTATAACATGAACAAGCATTTTGAAAGATATTTAAAGGACAAGAATTTACCTTCTTTGACTTTAAATTTAACAACTTTAAATCTTTAAAAACATCTCTAAAAATATCTTTAAACTCTACAAAACTATCTTTAAACTCTACAAAACTATCTTCTACTTTATTTTTTTTTAGCAACAAACAATGAGTACTATACCTGCTGCACTCTCCTGGATCACCCCTTACTTTACCGAAAAATTAAAAAACTTCATAAAACTTGTTAACAATTACAGTTTACTGGAACCATTATTGTGGACCCACCTGTCACAACAATACTGCATGGAGATGAGCATACCCACAGCCTCTCTATTACCAATCTGAAAACTAAACCTCTTCTTAGTCCCCTGAACCAACTCAAAGTGGACATAATGAATAGTACCCCTGCCCAAATATTTCCTGTTCAGGTACTATCCTTAACTGAAAAAAGCTGGACCTCCTGTTTCGAAACTATCCACAAAAAGTACAAGGAAGCTGCTAGCAAGAAGCACTATAACAGAATCCATGCGTTAGCTTATACATTTTATCTAGGAGGACTAGTTAAAAAGCATCTGAAAAATCTTAGTGAAAAGATTAAAGAGAAGAGGTTGAAAAATAGAAAGAGAGTTTGGAAAAGGGTCTACGATCTTTTTAAGATTGTAGGACCGGAACAAATTTACCGCACCAACACAATGAAGCTTAGAGATTTGGACGATCTAAAATTAGAAGATTTTAACGAGTTAGTTAGTTTTGCAACACAACATAGACATAGAACATGAATAAGGTTTTTGGTGAACCAAAAACTTAAGGGGAGGAAAATGTTATGAAACAGGTTTTCATAAATTAGCATAGCATAGCTTATAATTTAGATTCTATATTTTATATTATTTAGTTTATATTTATTAACTTGTATTATTAGAGAGTTAAAGTTGCTGTAGCATATAATGTGGCTAAAGTTATATACGGCCCTCAAGTCCTTCAACTATACCTTCAAGTCCCTCAACATGGTCTTCAACTCCCTCAAGTACATCTCTCAACTCCCTCAAGTACAATGTTACATTTCCCTCAAGTCCCTTTTCTATTCTGTAAAAGGTATATAAAGGGAGTCTTAATTCCTTCTTGTAAAGATAGATCATATACAGATATCTATAGATCTAATACAGCTCTTAGATAGATCTCAATTACCTCTCTCTCATAGAATTAGTCTTGTAATTCTCTCTTGTAATATATAACTCTCTTTAGGATCTCTAAAGGAGATTATCCTCTTGTCCTATAATAATAAAGGTTTAAAATACACTATCCTAATACCAAACTGCTTACCTTCTGCTTGTGGATACTTAATTGTACTCCACATCCACCCTGTGTGTATTCCAGTAGCAGAATCCCTGCACCGGGTAACCTTGTTATGATGCTATGTGGTTACAAAGAAGGCCATAGCATTGTAACAATATAAAACCCATATCTCATATGATTGACTGATAATACAAATTCTTAACTATCTCAGGATCTCGTGATTGGATTTTAATGATTTTGGGCTTGTTGGAATCATCTCATTGAGACAAACATTTTGGTAGTTAAATCATTTAAAACAGACTAGTGGATCAGAAGTTATTTAAAATATTTATCTAAAAATTTCAAATTTATTATTAAATTTGTATAAAATTCAAACTATCTCAGAATTCTATGATTGGATTTGATGATTTTGGGCTCGTTAGAATTCTTTCACTGAGATGAACATTTTGGTAATTAAATCATCTAAAACAAATCAGTAGATTAAAAGTTATTAGCCAATTCCATAAATCAACCTATATAATGAAAAATTTAAAGTTTTATATATCATATAATATACTGTATATGTTATAATGCTAGTGTGCCGAATTATATAACTTATTTTTATTTTATTTTATTATTTATTAAATATATATAACTTATTTTTATTTATTTTATTATTTATTAAATATATTAATTTATTACAGTTTTTTAAATATAATTACATTAAAAATCAACTTTTAAAATAAATTATTTATTAAAATTGAATATAGAAATAACATTTGGATACTTGGCTTCAACAAATATTGTCTACTAGTCCTGACTGCCATGTAGAGGCATATCCAAATAGCCAGGTTACTTTTTGTGGGAAGAACCTTATTATTAAGAAAGAAACCTTCCTTTTCTTCTAGTGCACATTAATCTTGCTTTGAAAAGAGAAAACCAGCGAGTGACAACATATAAGCTTTTCACATAAAAAACATACGAAATTAAACAGACAAATCCTGTAAATTCAGTATTTTTTTTATATGTAACTAGCAATAAACCTAATCTAACCCCAATAAGAGAATATTGCACCAAGCACCAGTTTTTAATATTTAGTTTGAAAGAAAATTGGCTCTAAAGATTCAGTGGGGTTGCCAAAATATTGGTGCAAACAAAGTAACCTTAAGACCCAGAGCACCCACTAGTCCAGTTGGGTGGTTATAGTCTTACCCACTTCTTTAGTTTTAAATCTTATACCAGAGCACCTGCTCGTCTAGTTAGATGGTAAGTATAAGAATACTAATAAAGTGGAGAGGGCTTTGCTTTTAAGGGTTAGGGTTAAAATTAGTGCAAAAATACTCAAGGGTTAGATTATTATTAAAGCTAGGCGAAACTTAAAATGTTGCAAAGATTTTTTTTTATGTACATACAACTATTTGTACAGTACATAATTATCACGATAATTAGCCAATAATATTTCTACATATATGTAAACACGTCTGTGTTGATAAAATTATCGATTAGGGTTGTACAACCGCGTTAATTCATTTAGAAAACAGGCTGATTGACGGGTCTACCTTTAGTAACGAGTACGGTCCCGCAGTAATTGTCAGCCGATTTTGAGCAAGATTTATAAAAAATTGGCATTTTTAACCGGTATTCGTCCAATAAATAAAGTCATAGAAAAATAATTTTTCTGTAACATTTTCTATTAGTTTTTGATGGGACCGATTAGGTACCGAACAGTGTGGAGAAAATTTAGCTAATCGGTCCCATCTAAATTAGAAAATGTTACAGAAAAATTATTTTTCTATGACTTTATTTATTGGACGAATGCCGGTTAAAAATGCCAATTCTTTATAAATCTTGCTCAAAGTCGGCTGACAATTACTACGGGACCGATTAACATCCCTAGTAACGAGTAACGTAAAAACCAACCGTTTTCGATTTCGTTAAACGAATAATTGGCCATTTTATCAACACCCCAATTATCTTATACGAATCCAATTCGGATTCATTTTGCGAAACACTAATTAAATAACCTATTTAACCTTTTTTTTTTTTTGCATTTCACAAATTTAAAGAGTGAAATTAACAAAATTTTTTTAATGAACGAATGTCTATTTATATTTCCCGTTTTCACTCTGGACTCACATAACTTATGTTGGAATTGAAATTTTGTAATTTTGACCAATTATCGTTATACTGACCAAAATTATAGTTTTTTCCATTCTAAACCAGAACTATATTCCAGTTCTGACCTAAGTAACCCAATTTTATTTGAATATCAAAATTTCTAAGTACAGGTCACCCTCGTTGATATCAGCTTTGTTAATATCACCTAAGCCACAAAATCAAATTTTTAGAAATTAAAATTCCCTCATATATATCAACTTTAATATGATTTCTCGTTAATATCACTATCAACACCAATTCAAATGGGTTGATATTAACGAGGGTCACCTGTATATAGGTTCTACTCATTTTATATAATCTTTGTTCGCCCTGTCGAATGATGCAAATTTATAGCAAAATAGTAAAAAGTATCATGTTTTGAGCGCTTATCATTTTTTTTAGAGACTTTCATTATATTATATGCTTTAAAATTTTCTAAACATAATATTAAATATATCAAAGCACTTTTTTGTTGATAAGACCAAAACTTCATTAAAATATTAAAATATAAGGCATAACTAATGATGCACAAGTTAATAAAATAACTGATTTAGAATATTCTAAAGATAATGATAGAAATAATTTAAAAGGCATGTCGTGGTTAATTTATTTCTGTAAATAAAATATTTTTTATAAGGCCACACAAAATATGTAAAACCATCCCTGATTGGAATTTCATAATGACTTTTTCCAATATGCCATTTTTTAGGATAACTTCCCATTACAAGATCTTCCCCACCAAAGCATGTACATGGATTTCAAAATCAACGGTCGGTCGGATTTTTTTTTAAATCTACAGTAATTAATAGACTCATGTTCATATTTAAGGCTCAATACCGTTGCTAATTATTCCTACATATGATCATTTTGTTATGCGATTTGTGTACATGACAATAATCACGAAAACCGTTATAATTCATTATAATTCCGAAATATCATAGATAAACAGATCATAACGATAATTAAGAAACTGAGATTAAATCGCCATATGATGTGTCAATTTTATTTATCGATTTAATGTAAAAATGAGGTATAATTTTGATAGAAGAGGCAGTGCTGCAAGTTCTCATAGTACCAAGAGTTTAAATAGTTTTCTAACTCGTCAGATTTGCAAGCGGCGTTTGCTTTACATAGAATAAGCGTATTTCTGGGTTATCCAGACAAGATGGGTTATAGAGTGTAAGTTGGTTTTCTTCACTGTTTTAATACATGAATTCGAGCATATAATAAAATTTTTACCTTATATTAGAAAGAATATTCACAATGTTTCTTCAAGAACTCGGATTGAGACATATTAGACGAGGTTTTGACACATAAGGATTAACTCGTTGTGTGATATGATTATATTTTGTTTTATCCATTCTTATAATTTATTCTTATAATTGGCTTATCTAAAACACCTTGGAGAATGTAAGCCTGACATTGAATCCACTTCGAAATTTTTTGAATTAGTTCACATTGCTGATTTGATACAACAAATGGTTGAAGTATACTATGACGAAGAAATGGTATTAACTAATGTCAACATTTACTACTTTGTTAAAATTTGACGATTCGGCTAATATTTAATCAATTTTAAATATAGAGCGATAAACCAGATTTCTATAATATTTGTATTAAGGAGAAGAAACCATTTAAAAAGAATTTTGATGAAAGCGTAGCAACTGGTTTGAACAAAGGCATTCAGGTAGGTTATTCATATTTTGATGATAAATGTATTTTTTATAGAAGTATTATTCTTTGTAGGTCTTTATTGATCACGTGGAATTTATACTAAGCACAGAACAGAGATCTAAAGAGCTTAATCCTCCAATAAACACGCCATTAGATTTAAAACATACAAAGGTATTCATTATTTCATATAAAAATATTAAATGATAACTTACATTATAACCTATCTATTTACTTTGGCGTTAGAATGTCTTTCATCACATACTAAGCTAGTAATTGGCTGTTCATATAAGAATACGTTCTTAGTATTAGATTTTTTGGGTAAAGTATTTATTGACCCGTAAAATTAATTATGATAATTTAATATAGATCATTAATAAAACATCTGAAAAAGTTTACTATAAACATTAATAGTGATTTTCGAAAATATTAAAAGTTTGATATTTCAAATTGTTAAAAAAAAATAACTGTTTAAATTGGTTTTATCAATCAATCAAGTGATTTAAACCATTGTTGCTCTTTCACCATCTCTCTTAAACAACCAAGCGTCACTTCGTATTTTATTGCCCTTAAAAAACTTTTAGTATTTCTAATACACATGATGTCGGGTCATTCGTTAGGGAGGCAGGAGGATTTAAGAGTTTTTTCCTTACTGAAGTTTGAGTTTTGCCAAAAAACGTGAAGATTGGCTTGTTAAATTACAGTAATTTTACCTAATTTTGCGTAAGCCTGTGTAAGATTCGGTAAATTGAAATTTCATGTAATTGTAATTTTGAACACACGATATTTAGTTTCTGATATTAAATTTTCGGCGATTAATTGATGCAATAATGCAGACCGAAATTTTGTAAATCTGGTACTTTATGTATGACATGTGAAAGTTAACATGAAAATTGCTTTTCTGTAACTTACGTAAAATTACAAGTAATGTAAAATTGTAATTTATGTAACGCAACCCTACTTGCAATTGAGAAAGAACTATGTGTTTTAAAGCCTGAATATTACGTGTTGATGTAATTGCTAGTTCTCACTGGAAGTTAATGCTTTGATTATTATCGTGTTCTCGAAAATTTGTTTGGAATATAGGACTATTTCAAATTCTAAACTAGTTTTTTCTGAATAATTAACAATCTACCTTAATGGTCGTCAAATTTAACATTACAAAATATATAGATTTAAACTTGTAAAAAATAAAAATAATTTTAATAGTTTATTTAAATTAATTTTATTGTCCGGAGCGGAGCGAAGCGAAGAACACTTTGTTTTTACTACGACTATTATAAACTACATCACTTGATTATGTCTGTCTTTTCACGATCGTTCTATTTTCTTGATTCTCCTAAATAATTATCTGTAATAAAAAAATAAATTAATGAAAAT